AGGATGAGAGATTTTGAAATATTGGTTTGCTGGAACTGAAATTGTGAGTTTTTATACTTTGCTGTGAAATTGTTTATATTCACTGCCACTGATATCTGAGGTGTGCCATTTATACTGTGATAGAATTTGTACGCTTTATTGCCTGATCTTGTCTGAACTCTCTTATACCACAGACTAAAAAGACTACTTATTTGTTTTATTTATACGGCAATAAAGAAGTCAGACATACGAATCCATGACCCAATCAGGAACAGTAAAGAACAAACGCTAAATGCGTCTAAACTAAGTTATGGAAATAGACCACTTCATCTTTAGAAATCCTGGGTGGCAAGTGGACTGAAAGGAAGGGTGTTTAATCTGTATATTTGTTATTTTTATTTTCTTTTTAATAGCATTGTATATCCTGATTAAAACCCCCAGGAGCTGTGTGCTTTCTTACTTAGCTTCCTAAACTGATCCTTCCTAAGCATCTTTTTATAATCTATAAAATTTAGCTCTAGGTCATAATATAAGCTTGTGTCATTCTTCTGCAAGCAATGAGCTCAGGTTGAACGCAATTTGAGAAACTCACGTCTTTCTGCTTTGGTCCTATTGTTTTGTCTGGTTCCTCATAAACCAGACAGGAAGTTAATATTTTGGACAAGACAGTGCACATAGTCATTTTATTAGTATGGTGTGACTGAACTTCCGTGAAATGCGGTAAAGAAGAGGTAGTTCTTGCTAGGAAAAAAATGCTTTAATTTGAGGAGAAACTTGAAGGAAATAAATTTACCATKTGAGTAAGCTTGAAGTTTGCCAATCTCTTTTAAGTTCTTAAAGCTATTTTGCATTGTGTTAGCATTGAGTGGCCTCACACAAATGATTTGTGCTAAGACCATGCAATTTGGGAAAATTCCTATCCCAGGGAGTTTTATATTTAAGTGGACAAGCACGTAAAAGAAGGAAAAGTAATGAGGGCACAGGACAGCCTGTATAAAAGTTGAGGTTAATYCAGGCACCATAGTGCTTGGATTAGCACTATAGTGGTACTTAGGAATCCAAGTCTTGCTTATACAGCGCGTTTATGCTGAGGGATAATCCTGAGTTTAATGGGAAAGTTTTGGATGCAAGTAAACCTGTGGACACGTAGAATTCTCACCAGAAAATCCCATGTTAGTCTTTTCCTCCTGGTTTATTTGAGGGGAGTATAGGTTGTGGTGGGAGTGCACTTGCACAGTTCTGGACTACTAGGGATGCACTCAGGCTTCAGAAGCCAAAGGATTTTATCAGTTTTGCTTCCCTGCGTTACCTAAGAAATGCACAAGGCGAAAGAGAAACTTTCTCATTTCATCACTTTGAAACTGTCAGTGTTATTTTAACTACATTATTTTAACCAAAATGGCTATTTCGGGGCATCCTGCTGTCGGACGCCATCTGTTTGGTGCGCGTCATCATTTGTGACTTCTGCAGTGTGGGAACTAAATGTCAGAGGCTGTCAAAGCGTTTTCCATCATGCTCTAATTCTGGCTGAATAGAATTCCTGTTTATTCACTGTGCTTAAACAGCATACTGTAAACTTTTTAGGTATTCTTTAAGTTAACCTAGCATTACAGTATAGTGAAAACTGTAGTCATTATGCAACCACATTTCCTTGGCCAAGAATTTTTAAAAAAGAAAGGGTCATTTTTGGTCAAATGAAGAGGCTTTCACAGATAGATCAAACATTGCTTTGTTAATCATTTCTAACTGTCAGTGTGCTAACTCTAATTTTTGAGAGCATTGCTTTAACTTATTCTTTGATGTATAAAATTAAGCTGTAGCCTCAGTTGGATACTTAAGCTTTGTGGAAGTTTAGTTTTCAAAAATTTGTGGGAGTTTAGTGCTTGTGTTTTTGTTTCACCTCCTTTGATTTTAATTGCTTTAAAACTATGTGTATATCTCATGCTTATGAAACTGAGAGTCCCAGTTAAACCAGGCATCATGCAGGAAGATGATGAGTGAAGTTCTCTGTGCAAATACATCCATTCTGATTTATGACACATTATTCATTTTTATCATCAGCATCCTTTAAGCAGGGATGGTCAGCTAGGGCAATATAGTGATGGTTTTGTGCTGCTGAAGAATGTTCAACAGTGTGTGYGGGTGTGTATGAGGGTTTATTTTGTTTGGTTGGTTTTGGGAATTGAAATCAGATCTCACATTTCTGGGAAATATTCTTTAGTCGCCTGGATGACTTCTCAAACCAGGTTAACAATCATCTTTTCTCAGGAAAATGCTGTGAATGGAGAGCACTTGTGGCTGGAGACCAATGTTTCTGGGGACCTCTGCTACCTGGGGGAGGAAAGCTGTCAAGTCAAATTCTCAGTGAGTGTTACTTTTTCAGATTTCGTGCTTTATTTCTGAGGCAAAGAGCCTAACTTTAGACAGATACATTGCTCAGAAGCTTTTAATTATTTACTGCTATTGTTGATGCCTGTGCTTCCAGAGAAAGAATGCAAAAGAAGCAAAAGCCTTAGCAGGACTAGTATTTGACTAGCATTAAATACAGTGTTGTCTGGAGAAAATTTTTAATGACCCAGGTTATTAAGACAATGACACAGGATTTAATGTGTAGTTTGCTTAATATAGTAAGGAAGAAAGATTAGATATTGAAGTATTTCAGAAAAGCTGAAAGAAATCAGTCTTTTAYTTATATATGCACATATATCAATGAGAGTAGAAGGTCTGATGATTGTATTTTTACTTAACGACTGCAAGGGTTTGAATTATGCAAACCCTTGTTTGCATTCTTCAGCAGTAAATAGGATATTCAAGGTTTTCCTTCTTGTGTTGAACCTTTTTTATACATATCAGAATAACTTCTACTGGAGTGATCTCAAAACCTGGACTGACTATGGTGTCACTGTTACACTTTTATTCTACCTCATTTCTCTTCACCAAACTACTATTTAAGTTGAATTGTTTCAGCAGAAGAGATGAAAAAAACCTTCCCTCAGTATTTAGGACAGTTGGTGGGACAGGGGAATTCTGAGCTTTGAGTCAATGTTCAAGACAACATCGTGACCCTTGGATCGCAAAGCAAATGTGTGGAGTTCTTATTCTTGGTGATCTCTGCAAATAGTGCCTGGGTCTCTCTGTGATACCATCTGTTTGATTTTCTTAAAAAGTRCTTAGGTAATTTCATCCAAACCAAGCATTTTGATTCAACAATACCTCCACTTTTGGGGGGCACTTTTTGGGGGGCACCTATAATTTCCTGAGCGAATTACATGTCTAATGGCTTATTACATGAACGCCAAGCCCGAGAAGTGCGTGCTTGTTGCTACCAAAGACTGTTCAAGCAAATTGCTGATTTGGGGCCAATATTTCAGGTAATTCTCACTGTGTTTTACTCTCTACTTGCTTTGATCCGAAGGCCAAAGCTGGAGACAGAATTTTTGACTGTATGGACCTTTGGTCTGACCCCATATGGTTCTTCTTTACCTTCTTAGTAGAAGTTTACTGTCAAACTGAGCAAAACTTCTTCACAATTTAGCTCATTGAAGGTAGCATGGAAATGCAATTATGTGCTATGTTTGATTTGACAAGATTAGCCTTAGCATTTTATAGGTGATATATATATGTGTATATATATAGATGATATAGGTGATATATATATAGATGATGACACACTTTTCTAGTCAGTAGCTGTGGAGATGTTGAAATATATGGCAGAAGCAGTAGAGTTTAAGATTTGTAAGTTCTTTCTTACCTGGCCTTTGCTTAAACCTGACTGAGATTCTGACTTTTCTGTTTCAAGTTTTAGCATATGGGCCCCCTCCGGGAGAAAGCAGTATCTGAGAAAGCAGTATCTGTTTGTATAACATGGTATAGTGTATAGGGCTTTCAGTACTGTAGAAGTGGAGCTGGATATCCAATTAACATTACCTGGGGTTAGTTTAACTCAATCCATTAAACAGGTAATGCTTTTCCAGTTCAAATCGTTTGAAGAGATACTATTTCTTTCCGAGCCTACCTTGCTCTTCCTTTGACTTTTCACATGTAGACAAGGTAGATTTCTAGATCAGGTATTTTAACTGGAAAAAATGGCCAAAAACAAAAATAAAAAACAAACAAACAAAMAAAAMCCCAAACAAACAAAACCTGTAATTGCAGGGACTTTGTAGAAGACATTAGGCCATATAGAATGTGGATTTTTATTCTCTGGAAACTGGATCTTTTCATAACAAAGCAAAGAAAGTACACATGAAAGAAAAGATACAAAGTCTAAATTTTTACTAGCCTTCACTATATACTTACACACTATACTTACATATATACTTACACACTATATACTTACACAATGGTTGTAAACTACTTGCAATGGCACCAGAGTTCAAAAATCAAGAGAATGCTTTAAAAAATCCAACTACTCAAAAAATAGCTGCTTGTAAGGGTTTTCCTTTATTTGATTTTTGAACTTTTTCATCTTGGAGATTCATTGCTTTATGTCATCTCACTCCTCTGGCTAAACCTGGAAAATAAAAATTAAAAAAAAAAAAAAAATAAGTTAATCTCAAAATTTCTGTCCTTCTAACTCAGGTCTATAAGGTAAACTTCTGTTAATGTTACTTGATTCTAGCTTATTAGATTGAGTAGATGCATGAAGAGAAAAACCCTAAAACCCTAAGTGCGTTCCCTCTCTCCTGGATACATTCTCTTGCCTTTGATAGGCATCTTGGCAGGCAACTCCTTGATGCCTGYCAAGATGCCCTGTGATCTGCACTGTAATCTGCTGCCTAAAATGGGCCTTTTGCTACTTGTTCACAAGCTGGATTACTATGTCCCGCTGTCTTTCACAACCTCCACATCTTTAGTTGAAGAACATCAAACTTTTTTTTTTTCTTTTCAATATCTAAACCAATGGCGAGTTTCGGGAGAGGATTAATATATGTTGTACAAAGAGAGATGTCTCTCATTTGTCAGCTAACGCTTGTCCTCCCGTGACCATCTCCACGCACCCACACCTCCCTTTCCTCTTGCAGAAATCAGCTCTGCGGAGGAAATGTGCTGCCTGCAAGATTGTGGTCCACAATGCGTGCATGGAGCAGYTAGAGAAGGTAAGACATTGCCACCTTCTGGAACCTGACTTGGTGACACTCTTGTAATTCCCTCACTAAACTTCTAGCCTGAAAAACACCATACAGGAAGTTAGTTTTTTTTATCGGTATCTTTACAATATACTTGCTAAAAAGTTCACTTAGAAAGTCCTATTTTTTAAATAGATTTCTTTCAAACCCCATGTACCAGAAAAGAAGCCCTTACGCTTTYACATTTTTTAGAATTAAAAAGTAATTTCCCCCTACTCCTAGATTAAAGATTGAAGTTAGAMAATGTAGTTTCCTGTCATGCACGAAATTGGCCTCTTAAAATTTCACAGCTAAACTCAGCATAATTCGGCTTATGACAACTAAATTTATTATAAGCAATGCAGCATAGGATACTAGTATAACTTTTTCTTTGTGTGTTTAGTTTAGTACAACGCACCATTTCCTCCTCTGTTTCCTGAAAAATGAAATTCTTATTGTTTCAATTGGATATGTTAAGCCTTTTATTTCTTGTATCACTTTGGTGGAATACATCCTTCTTCCCATTTCTTTCATGGAGCCCTCCTCACCCTCAGATGCCTGCAGGCTGTCAGTCATGGACTTTCCAACAGTGATTCATCTTAACTGCACCTTACCTATAATATTTTAAAGATTTTTTTGTGGTATCTGTGTAAAAAATATGGATGGGAATATCCCCGTTGATATCATAAGAGCTTTATTCTTCCTCCTGGATGTTTGGAATGTGGTCCTCCATAAAAGAAGCAAGTGGATACATCCCAGTGTTTCAGCTTGTGTTGACAAATGTCATGGTGAACACAAGTCAACATTTTACCAGTGAATTTTTCATGACTTCTGTCATCAGCAGCAATGCTGTTCCCCATTGCCCAGCTAGCTGGTGGTGTGCCCAGCAAAGTAACACTTGGGTAAAAGCCACTCTGATCTTCATTATGTACAAAATTCATCTCTTGATAGACAGCTGTTATGAAAGTCTACCTCGCTCTTACAATTCCCTTAAGCCACATGGAGTTTAAAACTGGTGCACAGGCCTTCTTTTTGGCCTTCTGTCCAAAGGTAAGTTTCTAAATAAAATAACAGAAAGCTTGGAGTCTTTTTTTAACTTGGTAGGATTCAGAGGTGAAACAATTAATTGCAACACCATATGAAGAGCAAAGGAGGAACACTGTGTGTTGTGGATTTCACTTGTTTTTAATTATCAAATATTTTGGTTCACTTTTTTTCTGTTTCTTTTTTTTTTCCTGTCATTTGATTTACTATTTATAAAGCCATGTAAAAAGAGAGAAGACTTTGTTTATATGGGCAGGACATAGGTTGTATTTAAAATAGTGGAAGCTTGACCCTTGCAGCTTCATAGTAAGAACACTGCTCAACCATGCTTTTAAGTGCTTTATTTTTTTGAAGGCTAGCCAAAAGGAAGAAGAAAAAATGCCTAAGATTGAATCCGTTTACTGAATCATTATCTCATTTCCTTTTCATTCTTTCCATGGATTCCCTTTTTCCTCTCTTTTTCTACCCTTTTTTCTTCTTTCCTCATTTGCTTTCTTCTTATTTCTATTTCTTTTCTATTCTCAAAAGCTGTTATATTATTTTGCTCATCTTCCATTCTCATTATTTATTTTATGCCTTTTTTCCTCTTCAATTTCTTAAAAACATTTTCTGTTTATGGWACCTATTTCTGCATCTCTTCCTCTCTAAGAAAGAGGGAGCGCCGCACTGCATGAGGCAGTGCTGTGCTGCTCCAATGGTTTGGAGCATGGGGAGTGGATAAAAAAGAACAGTCTAAGCAAAGGCAGAAACGTAGGGTAACGTCAGTGAAGACACCAAGAACTGTGCTTTCTCCAAAGATTTCATCTATGAGGACCTAAAGCTGAGGTGTGCAAAAGGATCTTGTGCAGTTAGGTTTCCAACTCCCAGTGACTTYTGAAACTTCAGCTTAAGTCTGTTTTTGTTGCAAATGACCTTTATAAAAGCAGATGAAGCCTTTCTTCTAGGCCAGGGGAAGAGAGGTCAAGCAGGTGATCTGGGTAGGCAGTTGTATTATGGCACACGAAAAGAGATTTTATAACAGTCATGCAAGTTACTTTGTTTAATTACTGAAGCTGATGTTTCTAACAACGTTTTTGAAGGCCTAGACTTAACAATCAGAGTAAATTCTTTCTTGGCTCCTTTTCAGCTCTAACTGCTTTATTTTAATGGCAGATTAATTTCCGCTGCAAACCGACGTTCCGAGAAGGGGGCTCTAGATCTCCAAGAGAAGTAAGTACTGCACAAGTGACATTTTTTTTTATTTTTTTTGCTTTGACTTGTGTGTTGAGTCACCTGGTATGGAGATGTAGCAGTGCTTTTAGATTCAGAGGAGCTGTAGACAGAGATCCTGCTTCCTGTGGGACATGTTCTCTTCCCTGGAATGAGCTTAACATGAATTCTAGCTAAAGCACTATATTACTTACGCTAGCAGGAATCATTTCATCTTTTTGATGTCTCATTTCCCATTCATTCAGCTATTCTGTCTACTTATATTTTTAGTATAATTTCTTTCTTTCTTTTTTCCTGATCTTGAGCTAGTCTTTTTGCTTATTTTCTCTGATTCTGTGTCCTCCTGTTAGCCTCTCTCTTCACTTTTTTTCAAGAAACAGGTTTAGTCTGATAGTCAGAAAAATCAAACATTAAAAAAATTTACGACTTACTTCCAGATACCATGTGAATTCTACCCCTTTTAAGGTGCTGGATATTTATTGTCTGTATTTACATCAGTAAGACAGATATGTAGTTAAAGCTGACGTCTCTGAAGAAAAGCATCCCAACCYGGGAAGGTAACTCTTGAAACTTATTTAAACATCAGGGGATTTTGTCAGGGAGGAAGAATAACTAGGGAAATCTGCAGATCCCTCCATTTCTGCAGCAGGGTCACTTTGCAGCTGGCTAGCAGGTAGCTCAGGTCCCTGCCACATGGGTGAGACTCCTGCTAACCCCATTGCTTGCACAGAAGCAGGGGCAGGAGTCCTACACCCCCACCTGCTTTTTGCCCATCTCCTGCCACCATCCAGGATGTAAATGTCTAGCACATCTCAGTAGAAAGATGTGCTTCTTCCTCCCCTCTTTCCTTTCCCCTGCATTGACCTGTATATTTACTCTTCTTTTTGTAGAAGGGTACTGAGAATAGTTCTGACTGCATTGCAACGTGGATAAARGACATCATCGCATCCTGCAGTTTTGGTTCTGTCTGGGGTTCCCCATAACACAGTTGTTGCATTTTGCTCCAGAAACGATTGCATTGGCAGTCACACATGGCTGGAGAGCCCCTTCCTTCTAYGTCTGTGAACCATTTTCACACAGATTGTACCTCTGAGTACAAACTACTGTCCTTTCCTATAGCATTTTCTTGTTCTTCCCTTGCAGAACTTTGTCCGACATCACTGGGTGCACAGGCGGAGACAGGAGGGGAAATGTAAGCAGTGCGGAAAGGTAAGATTTCCTTTGCATCACAACCATGACACTGGACACTTAACACGTAGGCATTCAGGGTAAATGAATCCATTGTTGTTAATGATRAAGCAGTCTCTTCTTTAGCCATGAACTTTTCCCTCTTGTCTCCTCTCTTACATTTCTGATGGCTCTGACAGAGCACTGTCTTTTTCCTTCATTTGTCATTCCAGAAGATAGCAACTGCCATTGAAATGGAATGGCAGTGAATTTAAAGCAATAAAAGAAAATATTATTCATGAAATACCTAATGAATCTGTAGACTTCATTTATCTTTGAAGTTATTAGTCTTGTTCCATGGCTGAAATTGGGTATCTAAATATTTTAGTGGTTATTAATAGTAGCGTGAGTGAAGCAGGCAGAGATGAGGAGTTAAAGATACTTGCATCTCATGCTTCCAGTCATAAGCCTGTGGAAAAGAATTAATGCTCCCCAATATCTTCAGCTTGGCACTGTACATGTATATGTTGTCTGCCTTCCGCGTGATTGTTAACCCCTTTTGAGAGAGTTGGAGAARAGAGGTACTATGTTCGTATTTTACTTCAAATGAGGATTGTATTTTGCAAGGGAATTTCCTGATCATCACCACATACCATGGTTCACACCTGGGGCTGTGTTATAGCACAAGTGAATTCCTTTTAGATTAAGCTTAATTAAAAGGCTAATGCAAGGCCTAATGCCTTGCAACCACTGAGAGCATTCAGTCCACAGGAGCAGGCTAAAACTAATCCAAAGTAAAATCCTCTGAAAATATCAGTGTATAGTTTCCTTAGGATTAATAGGACCTATGATTCTACTGTTCCAGATTACTTGCTAGTCTGGTTATAGCATATATAGTCTGATTTAGGCTACAAAGTCCTATCTAGCCAAATATTCAACAAGGGTTTGCAATAAATAATTATGGAAAAGTATGAGTAGAGGCAGGTGTTTAGTGATGCATCTTAGAAATATCTTATAGTATCTTATAAATACAACTTGTTAATATAATGATTGCTTCATATAACTTATAAGATACTCATAAATATAGAACAGTTATAAAAACCCCTTTAGAAAGGAGTTATAAAACTCTTTTATGTGTTACTTTTAAYGGCTTGTGGATTGATGCGGGGCTTTGTTTTCTCTATATATAGCGGTAAAGTTCAAATTTCTAGTAGAAATTCAATTCTGCTTCTCAGATGTTTTAGCAGAGATCTCCATGCAAGTAATTCATTTGTTGACAGTATCTGAGTTGTAAAAATACCTAGCTTTCATACAGTAACATGCACTGCAAGTCTTCTTGAGAACTATAGAAACAAGATAAATATCTTAGGAAAGTGTGTACAATATTAAATTGTTACTTCCCCAACATTGATCTTATTGATAAATAGGTTTATTCTTAATGAYAAATGAGTTTGGGGAAATAACCAAGACCCACTGGAGCTAGACCTGATTATGTGCTGTGCATGTATGCCTGTGTTAATGTAGACTTTGATCCTAATTATTTGGACAGATTCTAGTCACCCATGCAAGCTGTGGATTCAGGTGCTCTTTTCCTCCAAATATATTTCCTCTGGTATGAACAACTGTTTACTTTGACAAGAACAACTCACAACATGGAATTTCATGTGTCACACAGGAATCGTGTTCCTGTGAATCAGGGTTAATCAGGTAGTATTTAATTGATATTCTCACAATGGTGGAATTAATCTTCCACTCCAAAATTTATGAATTTGTGCATAAGACTTTCTTGCATGACTCAGGAATGAAATAGAAAAACTGTTTTTTTTTGTTTTCTGGGAGAAACTGAGAGAAAATCATGGGAAGAAGAGATGATTTCTGTTGGAGTATTCAAAGGCTCCAGTGTGACAACCTGGCAATGACAACCTCATATTTGTCATTTTATTTCATTAGTTCCTTTACTAGTAAAGCTGGGCTTCAAATAATTACTAGTATACCTCAAACACGTAACCTTAGGAAGAGTTAACTCACATTTGCAAAACAATTTGAGGAAGGAAATTGCTGCTTATCATTAATATGTTTTTATTGCTGTTTCATTTTCTCTAATGACTCCCTAAAAGCCAAATGGCTTACTGGATAAATGAAAAATGGTCCACCCAGAACCAGACAAGCTGCTCAGTCCATATGCTTAAAATATACCACTGGCAGGCCATGGAATTAATGTATTGGATTCTAGGATTTATTAACTGCAGTTTGGAGRGGGGGTTGGATTTCTTTCCTATTGTTAAATCTAGAAGAAAATAAAAAAAAAAAGTTTTGTTCATGAGGGGCTGAAATAATTCTCTTTTCTAATTTTTGGGGCAAGAAGGAGTAAGGTTTGTGAGAAATGTTAAGAAGTGGTTATCTAATTGAGAGAGAATAAAATAATTTGTCAAACGTAAAACCTCTGTTCCAACACTCATACAGCTACTACCAAGCGACAGTGGCTCTTCTCATGCTAATGCTCAATGGCAGGCCTGATCTGCCCAGCCAGAAGCATCTTGCCGGCTTGTCTTTGTAAAGCCATTTGGCCATGCGCCATTACCAAGCCTGAATAAGCCAAGTCACTTTCCTTGTGAAAAAATGTGCTCTCTGAGATTTTCTGAATGCAGAACATGAGAGATTAGGGAACAATTTGGAAAAATCTAGGTAGCACCAGGTACGATCTTGTGCACTTGTCCTAAATTGGTGGTGTGGTATATCTGGCAGACTGGTTTGAACACAAGCTGGAGGGGTCTGCTACTGGCCAAACAGCCACAACAAGCACTTGTGCGTGGTGGGCGGTCAGGGAGACACTTCTCCTCTTCATTGCCCTGGCAGGACTGTTTTCTGCCACCATTTATGGACAGACTATGGTTCAGTTCCTCATTTGACAAGATCAGCCTATCTCTATGTGAATTTTTGGTTGTTAATTCAATTCTCTTTTTTCCTTAATGCTCTTGACATTCTCATTGCATTGAGCACCAGTGGGCTCGTTTTTTTTTTTTTTGCCTCTGTCCATTTTCTGTCTTTTCTACAGCAGCTAGCACAAGGGGGAGCTTTATTGTAGAAGCAGCAAGGCAGTTTTCTTATAGTTATTACTAAGTTAGATAATAATAATCCTTTATACTGCATCCTAACCATTGAACAACAGGTAAGAGATTTAAGTAAAACTCAACATGTCAGAAAGAAAACTGACTCACWACTTCATGACCTAAGAGAGAGCCTTTCAATTAGGAAGAAAACTCTGGGTGCTCTAAGGGCTCCAGTGCCCTAGTGTTGTAGTGGAGAAAGGCTTGATAGAAGTCTGTGATTAAAGGATACAGACAACTGCAGATTTGAAAGAAGTCTAATTTTAGCAGTGGAGGTGACTAAAGCAAGTGGAGTGTTGGACTTTCTATCCCTAGAGCCATCAACCCAGATCAATTCATTTTATGGATAAAATAAGCTTTAACTGAACACAAGTTTTTAGATTATAACTGCTGTGGCTGTTGGTTGCCTGTGCTATGTACATGAAAATTATATGTGATCTAATAGTCTTTTCTAGCTTTATAATGTAAAGTTATGTGTTCTGCTGAAATTACTTTCTATAAAAATAAACTCCTCCGGGAGAGACTAAAATTTCATACTTGCTTATACTTATAAATAAATAAATAAATACTTTGTTTTATATCTGATTTGAATCAGGACACCTTGTTTTGGGAACTGACTAAAAAGATTTTGATCTGAGTCAGCTCAGTAAAACACTAAGCTTAATTTCCCTATTGGAACACTTCCACATAGCATTGTAGTTGATTGCACTCTGTTGTATTAAAAATAAATAAAGAAAGAAAACTTAAATGCTTGTCTACATTTAGGGAAAAAAAAGATAATGATAAGAAATTTTGTTTAATTGAAAATCTGTGTCTTAGTCAGATCTGTAGAAATTAAAAGTCATTCCCTCTCTGTTTCTTTTTCTCTGTCCTTCTTAGCTACCGAATTTAAGGCAAAAAAGATATGTTTTTAAAATGTCGTGTGTGAAGATGTCCCAGTTGAAGAACTTTCACTAAAAATCCTGTCGATATTTTATTCAGGCTCAGGGTCTGAGAACTTTGAGGATTAAGTAGTTAATGTACCTGAGCACCTTGAATTGGTTTAGTCTAGCATAGTCACTTGTCAAGGGTCAAGTTTATTGCATTTGGGAGGAAYTTAATCTTTTTTCTCTTGCTTATTCCAGGGCTTTCAGCAGAAATTTTCCTTCCATAGTAAAGAGATTGTGGCCATCAGTTGTTCCTGGTGCAAGCAGGCGGTAAGTAGACCATACAAGTGCCACATGCTCTAGGTGTTCCTGCTTGAGCAGGGAAGTTGGACTAGATGATCTCTAGAGGTCCCTTCCAACCWCAACCATTCTGTAATTCTGTTATGCTTGAGAGTAGCAGCTTCTCTAAATTGTCCCACTGCAAGCCATTTCACTTGTCCTGGCTCTCTGTTTTCTTTCTCAAGGATTCTACCTCTTTTTTTTTTTTCCCATTCTGTTCCTTTTGTTTAAGATACTCCACAATTTTTTTGACTGGCACATGACTCTTCCTAGGAGAAGTGTCTTGCTGCACTGTACTGCTGTTGTCTGTCTCTCATTGATGTCTTATTGCTGCCTGTTGAGGGGGTCAATGAGCTCTTAATATATATGACCGTGTCAGCCTGGATTGTGGTCCAATGCATGTTTACCTTGAGACAGATGTGTGGTAGAAAGCATGAGAAGGGAAGGTGGTCTTAATATCTATATTCCTAAAACTCCCATGGTCCAGAGGACCTGGAAAGACAGTGAAATTTGGAACATTGCTTCCATTTTTGCACTTTTATTTTCCTCCCCTACCTCTCCATGCTTCATCTGTCTTTTTATTGACTTTTCCAGTTTCACAACAAAGTCACCTGTTTCTTGCTGCATCACATTGAGGAGCCATGTTCCCTGGGGGCCCACGCTGCTGTCATTGTGCCTCCCACGTGGATCATTAAGGTGAAGAAACCTCAGGTAACTGCATGCTGATGTCTGTTTCTAAAGCTCTGCAGGGCCAGCCTGGCTTTGGCTCTCAGTACTCCTCCACTATGGCATGCTTATTCAAACCTGTCTATATCCCTGAAACACAGCATACATTCATGGTGATTATGAACCTGTATCTTCCCGCCCTTCCATCCAGCACTTCAGTAGATTTCCTTCCTTCCTTTGTTTGTGATGATTAGTAATAAATAAGACTTTTTTTTCTGAGCAGTCCGGATCAGGTTTGTTCCTCTTATTGTGATTTCAGCTCTAGCATACTGCAAGAAATCCCTCCCGTGCTGTAGGCAGTCAAGCATGTTTCATTAAGTAGAGCTGAGCAAATAGAAAGAAAAACTGTCCACAAACAATTACTTGAATTGTAGTAAGAATTGCCTGTGACTCGACTGGTATCTGTCAGAATTTGTCATCAATGTACAATCATGTCTTATTCACATCAGTGCTTGTCAAATTCCAGCAGTAATCTTACATACTCACTTAGATGCAGGTAACGAATATTAGACTTTGAGGTTGTATAATGGATATGATGTGTTTTTGAGATGATAACACACTGATCAACACAATAGAGAGAGAGGTATCCAAAAGAGAGCTGGTCAAAACACAAAAGGGGTTTCTCATTCTTTGAAAGTCAGTTTTCATTCCAGGCTTCAATAAAAGAAACAGACAAAGAAACTCTGAACRTGTCAGGAAACCAGAGAAGCTGCTAAAAGCTGTATTTAAGAAACATTGGAACAATATATTTCTGAAACAAATTGTTTTGGAGATTGAAACTTCTCACGTGTTCTTGAGGCAGAAATCTAGATTTATCAAGCAGTGATACGCAGTTCTTATGTTAGCACTTCAGTCCCTGGAAAATAAACAAGGGCTTTTGGGGTTTATGTCCTGGTTGGCAGCAAGAAGCTGAGAAGCTCAAGCTGCAGACAAGGTGGTAAGTGACCCAGAGATTTCTCTCATAAAACTAGAAARATGTCCAAGCTATAATACTGATCATTCTAAAAGAAATGATCTCTGTAGCTTTGATGTATTTTTCTATACCCCTCTTCTGGTTGTTTTACTGCAGCCTCTTCCAGAGAAATAATTTTCCTCTCTCATTTAAGAATCTATTTGAGTCACCAGAAGGGACTTATTCTCCTTAGCTAATTTTGAGCACTTGTATAGTATTTGCTACAAAAAATGAGTCTTGCTTTTTCCCTGTGTTCTTAAAGTGACTATATGGCCTACAGCTCTTTCGGGGCTGTTCAGACAGCGGGCTCCATAGCAGGCAGAGTGCCTGGAAGCTGTGATTTGGCCTGTAGCCGCAAAAGTTGTGACTTCAAGGGTCACTCACCTGGGGGTGGATCCATGAGGTTGTGTTCCTCATGGCTGGAAATCACTAGGGCAGACTCACTAACCATTGCAGTCCAGCCGTGGAAAGGGGGCACTGCCAGGGTCCCTGGGTTTCCTGCCTTGACATGGAGGAAGGGAGACTGAAAGCACCACATCCCTGTCGTCTGTCAGGTTGAGTCTTCAGAGGTGAAGTCTCAAATCCTTGGTTTCAGCATGTTTAGGACCAGGTATATGTGTGTAACCAGTAATTTGCTGTGCAAAATACTGAACCATTTTGGAGTCTTCAGATTTTTGGCATAATACTGCATTTCTATTTGTTTGTTTTAAAGAAATTCATATTCTCCACCCTGCTGTTTTTGACCAGCTCTACTTTTGCGTTATTATAAATCTCTTTACCCTATATGCAGGTTTGATGAACAGTCTCAAATATCCACCCTATTCAAATCACAGAATAGAAAAAAAAAATTGCAAGTTCGTATAGTAAATATGTATAAACAGCGGTCTTATTTCTGTTGTGGAACATACAAGATATATTTGTGTAGAAACCTTTTTTTGTTGTGTATTATTTCCTCAGCTCTATTTAATTACTCACATTGGTCATAGACAACTTCTGAACTGAATTCCCTATCCATATGAAATTGATTTTAGTGGTGCTTTCATCCCGTTTGTTTGTTATTCCTTTAAGTGAATAGATGGCTTTTCATAGCAAAATCTTGCCTTGATTTTTTATTTCTCCTTATCTTTTTAATTTTATTCCTCTCCTTTTGCAAAAACAAAAACATTTTTCCATGCTTATTACGTACAGCGTGGGTCACCACCTTTCAACTACTGGACGTGAATAAAGAGCAAGCTTCCCTTCTGATTACCAGTATTGTAGTAGAGAAATATATTGCTGTAATTGCTTAAGGACAAATCTCTGCTGACAACCCACATTCTAAATGGGGAGCTTTTGCTTCTTGCAAGCAACTGATTACAAGATAAAGATCATTCAGGATAGTTCAAATTCCTTTGAGATAGGTGGTAGCCCTGTATGTAATGATTCATTTACATCAATGGAAAATTTCCAGTACCTATTTCATGTTTTTGAGAACACAAGCCACTTCTCTAACTTCTTTACTGATTTTTGGTATTTCTGTACAGTGTTGGCAGTGCTCCACAGAAATACCCAACTCCAATGTCAGCTCCAATTTCCTGGGGTTCAAGTTAAATCCCTGCTCCAGGCTATGAAAGCAGGTCACCCCAGTTGTCTAGTGGTCATCCKTTACATGTGAGGCTTGGTGGCCTGAGGAAGCTTGTGGCTGTTGCCACAAGGAATGGATTTACTCTGCTTGTGTTGCAGGAGGAAAGTAGGTTGCAAAGAGAATCTGGCTAATGTACTACTGATTCAGCTTGTCTTCTGTTGTTTGGGAAGGCAAAGGCAGTAACTTAAAATTCTAGCTTTCTGTTCAAAGTGAGGAAATATGGTGCCTTCTCCCTCTCCTTTGAGGAACTTCAAAAAAGGCTAGAGAGTATACTCCTATGCATCTTTCTTTCCTTACTTGATTGCTGATGGCAGCTAGCTTGTCTGACTGTTTTTCAGGCAGAAGATGGTCAGATTGACATTCTTATAAGTTGTCAATTATTTTCATCATGTGGAGAACAGCATGCTAAAATGCTTTTGAAAATGAAGGGTAAAATGTACAAGGGTGAAAGGGATCCACTGGTTCTGCATACGATAGGTAGTCCTTGGACCTTACACCGCTCAATATCACACAAAGACTCCAATTCTTCCTCTAGCTAAGCTTGCTTAGAAGAAATGTAGTGACCATGCCATAATCCCACAAATCTCTCTTTGAAGATGACCAAATTGACATCCACAAAGGAGAGGTTTCCTTTCTAGAGGCAAGTTAGGATTTACATTTCGTGCAAACTTAAAGGTATGCTTTCCTATCAAGCACTTCGCTGAATAACATTGTGCTTGTAAAATATTTGTCTTGTTGTGTGGACAAGGTAGTACACATCCAYTTCTTCTGTTTACCATGTGAAGACTGATGAGTACTCTTGGCTGTTATTCTTCTGCATGACTGCAAAGAAAACCTGCGTATGTTTAATCAGCTTTTTGCCTTTCATCTGCTATAAATATGCACTTGCATTATTGCAGCAAAACTGTAGGTACTGTTAACACTGTAGATGTAGTCATGCTAAAATTGTGAGACATAGTTGCAACAAAAATGTAGCATATTTTATTGCCCTTTTGAGAGTGGAGATGAARAAGTTATCATCATGATGGAGGCCTTGGTTAGAACTCTTTCTTTGATATGGCTGTATGCCTCTTCCAGATTTACCCATAAGAGAGCTCCAAGAAAGGAGCTAAGTTGTAACTGGTTCTAAAGGCAGCTGCATTTAAACATTTGAAAACTATTTTATAATGTAGACAGGATTTTACTGAGCTGCCTTTGCTCTTTCCCTGGCAAGAATGGACTTAGCTCCACATCCCCAATTAGTGCAATCCTTGTGGCTAATCATGCTTTCAAGATCACTCTTGTATGTAACAAAGTAGAGAAGAGTAAGAGTCATCATTGTTTTCAAAATTTTCAGTAAGCAGCAAGGTGTGAATATGTTACTGTCCACAAGGAAAGTTGAGAGGTGATAAAAAGGCAGGAGATCTGTGCTCTACAGCAGGCTTTTCTTGGATGGGGTGAAAATGAGGACAGTGTCTTTAGGTATTTCAGTCAGATGACTGCCAGGCCGTGAGCTTTCTACATTTCTGAGAAGTCAGGGGAAAAAAAAAATTCTGTATCTAGTGCATCACACTAAAGAATCTGGTACATCATTACTAAAGAATAATTTGAAATTCTGGAAATAGTTGTTAGGTATTAAGCAGAGACTCCAGTATATGTTCCCATTAATGTGGTGGTAGTGCTGTTTAGTGTGCTAGATTAAATAAAGACATGTCACTGATTAGTATTTATGCTTATATATATTATATGCTGATCTCTATTCATTTACTTATTTTTCTTTTAATAAAGTAAGCTTTTGAGTAAGGTTAGAAGAGAAAATTATTTTTGGATCACATGAGTGGATATCGCTTCTTTCTTGCAGCCAGAAAAATTCAATAAACATTCTTCTAATTTGCTGGTTTATAGAATTTGCTGRTGGTAACTAGACTAAGAGTTGAAATGCTGAGGAAGTATTTACAGTGCAGTTTGTTCTTATCATTATCAGAAGAGGTAATATTTAAGTATCACTAAGCAGGCTATCAGCAATCTGGAGAATAGCTTGATGCAAGTTCTSATTTTCTAGGTTCTGCAAAAATGCAAGTAGTTTTACTTTTTTTCTGTAGATGAGCAACATTGTTACTTAAAACAAAACAAAAACCCTGAATCCTTAAATGTTAACAATTCAGTGGGAGTGCCTTATCAGATGATTACAGGCTTCTTTCCAGGCTGGAAGTGACTTTGCAGAGACAGCATCATACACCATGGTGGCCTACGTTATGTTGAGTCATAATGGTTGCCAGAGCTAAAACTTGTTGTTTCTTTCCTAAAAAAAAAAAAAAAAAAAAAACATGAAAAATATCTTATTTATCATGTTTTTTATTACATCTTTATGCAGGGAGTCTCCATACCAGGAGACGAGCCTGATTGGGCAGGAGACTGGAGCCCCGAAGGGGAAGTGGGCGTCTCCTACCCCTATTGGGAGGGTTGGCAGGTACAACATGTGGTGTTATGTGAGTCTATGGGAGCATCTGATCTTTTTCCCCCCTCACAGCGTGGGAAAGTTTCCAGTTCCAAAGCACCAGTCTGGTCTCCGTGTGTGGCTTTCTCCATAAACGGTGGTGTGGAAGTGTAAAGCATGCAGCGCATGTGATCTAAATTTCGAGCATGTGCCAGATACTCTTATCATCCTCCAAATGGACGTGCATGGTAGAGCTTCATAAAGAGGCTCTGTCTGGGCCTGTCTTTTAAATTTTGTTTTGCTTTTCATGTATTCTTTTTCCTTTTGCTGTAGAACTCGCTGAAGACTTCAACTCGGCGGAAGAAGAGAACGTCTTTTAAGAGGAAAGCCAGCAAAAAAGGAAATGAAGTAGGTATTAAAGAGCTTTGGAAATCAGGAAATCACTTTTATAAATTTATAAATATGGATTTTAAAGTTTTTGCTTTTACATTTTTAATATATGATTTTTCACTGGAAAATTCCACTTCATTGAAATTTTCATGGAAAGAAATAAGTTTTTATACAACTCATTTGAGAAGTTTCCTATGTGCTTGGTTGATTTTTTCAAAAAACAACATACCAGACTTCATAATGACCAATGGCCCYGTGAGATGGTCTTCAATTGAAATGTAAAAGACTTGGATCAAAGGCTTGGTTTCCTTTTGCCAGAGGAAGGATGTGGCGCCATGTTTGTGAAATCCCTGGTGAGTGCATGGACTGCAACAGTCCTGTCTGGTTTGAGGTGGCCCCTCTCAGGAGATCTTCTGCTGTAAAGATTCTAAAAATTACAAGAGTGATGTTGTGTCAGAGAGCGAAAAGAGGTGATWGGTCATATGGTCAAGTTTACCACCTAGCTGGTAGAGGAACTATTTTCCTGTCCCTGTCCTAGTTGACTGATTATGTAGATGAAAACCAACAATCTCATGGGGAGAGATGGAGAGAGACTCACCTCTGCATAGCCGAAGTTTTCTTATAATGTCCTCTCTTGAGTAACGGGAGAGCTGCAGTCCACACTTGAGTCTTTGTGCCACAGCCTGGGTGAGTGCCCTCACTACTGGGCTCTCTGATGTCCTGTGGCATGGGGCAAGYTTTCCTCACTTTATAAAAATCTTGTTAAGGTATGTATGCAAAGTGTAATGTGTGGCCCATCTAAATAGTGCAACRTGAGAAACAGCAGGCCAGCACAGATTACAAAAGGCTGTATCAGTTGCTAACCAAGGTAGAAATTACCARGGCAACCATATCATAATTACCAAAGAAGGATGTAAAGTAAGAAAGCTGGAGCCAATCGTAAGCAGGTAAACATGTGGGCTTTTTATTTTGGATAGGGTGGTGAAGAGGAAAAGCTTTGGAGGAGAAAGGGTTGAAAAATAAGAGGTGGAATCAGATCATGTGAGTGGGGCTGTTTGAGGTATCTGTCAATCTCTTCTATATCAGCYCCTAATCTGTGCAGCTTTTAGTGGGATAGTAAATCTGTTCTTGCTCTGATCATGTCTGCCTCTGAATCACTTCTGCATTTGGGGTAGTACTCCCAAGTCTGAGCATTATGGTTTGTGCTGAAAGATTAAGTGCTCTATATCTTTCAAAATACCTGCTTGTATCTTTTTTTTTTGTAATTTTAATTTCAAATTCATGAAAATTTACTGCTTATTGGCTTCTAAGTTTATTTGGTGACTTTACATTATTTCCTGCAAGTAGATATTCATCTCACTGATATAATACATAACATTCATACAAAGGAGGGAGGGCCGGCAAGGCCAAGTATTCAGATTGAGAGGATCATTTGTAACAAAGTGCTGATACTACTTGTCCGTTAGATGGAATTCATGAAGTAAGTAGTTACTATAATTTTATTTTCTATTGGAAAATTGTTCATATAAAAATTACAATTTATCAGACACAGTATTAGAGCTGAGTGAGTAATTGTTTCAGGAGGAAGGATATTGAGAGGTTTAGCAAAATAATTTTGGATTAGCATGAAGTAATTTTTCTTACTAAATTGTCCCAGCTGGATAAATTAGTCCCAGCTGAGCCACCAGATAATGTGGCAGTACTATTTCCAATAGCTGAGGTAGTTTTGTCAGAGTTCACAATGCACTCACTATGTTATGCCAGGGAGACTTATTCTTTGTGTAACTTTTATTAATTTTTTTCCCTGCTTCTACTCCTCAGGATAACAAAGGTCGGCCATTTGTGATAAAGCCTATCTCATCTCCACTCATGAAGCCACTACTGGTTTTTGTCAATCCAAAAAGTGGAGGGAATCAGGTAAGAACATAATCTCTATTCAGTTTACAAAGTTTTATTTTAATAACTATTTCTAGAGATAAAAATAGCTTTGGGGCAGTCACAGACATGGAGAGTTTTATGCAACTGTACTGTAGCCTCTTGTGCTGAGTGTTGAATGGTCTTTCCACTTGAACTGTTGCTTAAATCTTTGAGTAGTCATCTTYCCATCTTCCAGTTCTTCAAAGAATCTAAAATTGTAGCTCAGAGGTTTTTAGGAGACTTCATTTTTCAATAGAAAAAGAGATGGAAGAAWTGAGAAACTGAATACTGCCCACCTCTTGGAACCTTCCACCTGGGCTCAGGACTCCTATGAGCTGTCTATATTTGGATGCTTCTCTAAGGGAAAAAACACATCATTTTTTTTCAGTTCTTACTTTTCCTTTTCCTAGGTACTTGGCTATTCTCAGCTCTCTACTTAGGGGAAGCTGTCACACAGAAGAACCCTCCTTAAGAAGGGGAAGCTAATGAAAAAGAAATGAGAGTGAAGCAAGTAATTCTAGCAACAAAGAACAAAAAAGGGAAGGTCAAAAGTTAATGAAAAATGGTGAACAAATGATGGGATACAGAGCAGAGCACCTCCAACAGTGCATGCTGCTCCCTGAAAATGCACACAAGTTAGAGGGCACTGCACACTGGTACTCTTGCCTGCACACCTCATAGGATAAAAAAAAGATAGACCAAAATTCTTTTGGTCTTTTCCCCCAGCAAGCTCCTCCTTGTGTGGGGAAGAACCAGGTTGGCCAGTTCAGAAAGAAGTCCTGCAACGGGGCAAGTTCTTGAACTGTGAACTTGAAAATATACAAATAGTATTATTTCTAGTAATCATTAGTTTATTCATTATTACTTATTTCTTTAATTTTCTCTTTTCCTAGGGCACCAAAGTTCTCCAAATGTTTATGTGGTATTTAAATCCACGCCAGGTCTTTGATCTCTCTCAGGAAGGGCCAAGAGATGCGTAAGTTCTCAAGCTTTTAAGACTGTGGACTATAATTTTCTTACCAGCAAAGCAGGYGAAGGGCTTCTAGACTGTACTGATGCTGGTAGGCCTAGGTTTTCAGAGAGCCAAATGGGGATCTAGTGTCTAAGTTTCAGATATATTTAAATCTATTTCAGTTGCCGTGTCCTGTCTCAGTAAGAGTCTTGAATACATGAGTGAAGAAGAGAAATCTAGGAGGAACCTAGCAGTTCCTTCTATTCTTTCTGTCCTTTCTAATATCAATGAAGAAGTTGTCAAGAAGATGGAGCTATGATCTAAAGATCATAGCAGTGCATGGTAGGAGATGTAGAAACAATGGACATATATTGAATTTGGAGATGTTCTGACTCAACATAAAGGAAATCTGTTTAATCATAAGGACAGTTAAGCATTGCAACAGTTTGGTCAGAGAAGTTGTCTTCATCCTTGGAGATTTTGAAGCCTTCACTAGATAAATTCCTGAATAATGTGATCTGATCTCAGATTTGACCCTTTTGAGATGGAGATGAACTACAGTCTCCTGAGGTTCTTTCAATCCAAAAGTGTTCTGAGATTCTATGATTGACTATCACAAATTAGCAGGTTCTTTGCTGAATACTGAGTTATCTCTATTTTTATTTTCTTTGTTTCTTTATTGTGTTGTCTTCATTTTGGGACCTATTGTCTCATACACCAGTCTAATAGGTTTGTGAGTGGTATGGCAGCGTTCACAAACTGTTATTCAGGTAGGATCTTTCAGGTTTGCTATGGAGCACACCTTACTGCTAACAATTTGTTGTTCCTTGTGTTTGACTTTGGGGAGGATCCAAAGCAAGTGACAAAAGGGAAGAAAAGGATGTTAAATGATCCCCTCAACATGGCTCTTCGTGTTGTAAATAGGTAGATGGAGGATGTTTTAAGAATATTCTTTCCAAGACTTTTGCAGGACAAAGCTGTAGAAGAATCAGCCATCCTTTGGTACAAAACCACAAATTAGTAACACATTGTAGTGTCTTTGTTTTCCCAAAATTACTGCTATAAAATATGCATTTGGTTTGAAAAAAAATGGGAAAAATGTCAAATGTGGATCACAGGGTACTAGGCATAAAAACCTAACCAAGGAAGAAAGTTAATTGAATTTCCTTATGCTTAAAATCTACAAAATGCAGATCTTATATTGCCTGACTGTTCCCTAGTGGTTAATCATTACAAAGGACTAATGTGCCCACAAACTTCCACATATGTCAGCAGCATGCAACTGTCTGCTTCCTTAGTAACTGACTCCATTTACCTGGGCAGTAGTTAAGTGTGAACCTCATTTCCATGKAGGTCCAAACTTTAAAGAGCTAAGGGTTATCTCATTGCTAAGGGTTAAATGACTGTCCTATAGCATTTGAGGTAGGGATATTTGCTTTGCTTATGTTTGCTAATTGATCACTTTCATAAGCTAAGCAGTACGGAATTTATAGTAATCACATAAAATCGTATCTCCTTTATAAAGATGGGTGTGCACCTAAGCTATTTTACCTGCTAAAAGTCCTCCATTGTTACTCCCTTCATGATATAAAGATGCCTTAAAGTAGCTGTACATTTTTTTTCCAGAGTTGTGTAGCAGAATTAAAGGAGGATCTAGTTCRAGCACTCGATTCATCAGGCTCCCAACATGTTAACATATTCCCTTTATTGGGATGTATTTCATTATGAGTCTCTTTCGTGCCATACAGGAAAGAACAGGTTTTAACCAGTGTTTTTTTTCCAAGTTTCCTATTGATACCTTAGATCTGATGAAAGAGTTTTATTAGCAGTTATTGCCGTACTTGAGATTAAGGAGGTACAATTGTTAGTTGAAGGAGCTGTTGTATTCTGCAGGCTTTGGGAATGGTGGCCCAGCAAATCCTGACCAGCGACAGCAAATTTTGTTAAAAACAAAACAAAACTCAACATTTACATGTGTTTGTTTTAGGATAGGCCAAAAAAAACCAAACCAAAACTAAACGAGGATTTGTCATCTCTGGAGACAGCCCAACCACGGCACTGCTGGGCTCCCTGCTATGGACCACCAGTGGTGTTGTATCACCTTCAGGTGGAGACTCTTGAGTGACATTGATGCTTACTCTGCCTACCTATATTCCTAAACAATTTGTACTGAAATATGTGGTACATATGGAGTCACTCAGCAAAAACATGTTCTCTATCATGGTAATTATTTGTTTTCCCTTTTCCCGTGCCAGGCTGGAGCTGTACAGGAAAGTGCCAAACCTGCGGATCCTGGCCTGTGGCGGGGATGGAACGGTAGGTAGCCTATATCTGACTGCCCACATGGTAGTGACAGGGTCACATCCAGGCCATCACTAGCAGGTGAAATTCCTCCAGTAGCTGCCTGAAACAAGTTGTGGATTTCTTGTCTCCTGATGCACACAGTGCTGGATAACGTRCATTACATTTGCTAAATCCACTTTTTTTTCTTCCGTGTGATGTAGATCCTGTGATGGGGCAGGATCATTGTGTCAACCTTTTATTTCAACTGACTCCTTGTAGGTGATACACTTCATGCATTAAGTCTTGGTACAGCTTAAAAAAATAAAAGCCAACTTTTCTGGCTTCCTCTCACTTTCTGCTGAGTGTCAAGCTGGTAAAGCCAGTGGCTGGGTGTCAYTACATCTTAGTTAATACTCCATCCCTGCTCTTATCAGCTTTTTTGACCTCAGACATTATGTCCTCTGTGCTGAAGCTTYTCAACTTCTTTTACAAAGCACTTGCAAGGAGGGATATCACAGTGATGATGATGCCCGCCTGAGATCAGGAAGATACAGGTTCAGTATTTTGATTTCCTCCTGAATTTCTGTTAAATCTTGGATTAGGTAAGTAAGGTAAGATATTTAAGCAGGGGTTCAGGCACCTTCTGATGTAGGCAGGTTGCAAGGTTCAGGGCCTGCATGCATTTCCAAACCAGATGAGTGATAGCTAGCCATAGTTGGAGCCTATGAGGCAAGTGGTAATGAATGAATCACAGTTTCATTACTCTTTCCATTGCTTAGAAATATATTGTAAATCTCACTCTGTGCTTTTTAKTGCCTAAGTACTATTGAAAATTGAACCCTTAGTATCTGTAAAGCTCAGTTTCCCCTTTCCTCCTGCAAAAATGATATATCAAGTAATATTTGTAAGCAAAAATATGGCAAGGAAAATGCATTACTGATTGTAGAGGACCCAGACATTGTATGAAGGATCCATATGGCTAGCCCAGGTTAGGTATATGAAGAYAGTTAGATAGGCACCAGGAGACTATTAAGGAGCTGAGCTCGCCTCCCATCCATCTCAGAGTTATTAAGGGATTATCTTTTTTACCTGTGGGATCCTTTAAAACCCGAGATGTGGAAATTATTAATATCAGTGCTTCCTCTGCCAAGGTGAAATAAAAATGTGTTTCGACTACAGTCTTGCTGTTACCTGGGACAGTAAAATATGGTTGTTTTTGAGATGAATGCAGCTGCACCAGCAGCATACCAYACTTTGCTTAACAAGCGATAGGTGGCAGCATGTTCTCATTAATATGACCAGCACTCATGATTAGCTTTGCTGCTGTTGCTCAGTTTGAAGCAAATTAATATTTAGTTATTCCCTAAGCCATTACATCTAGAAATGAAAAATCTGGCTCAAATGGACTTAGTGAATATTCAATGAGACCAGATGTTACCTTGCATTATTGAGGTGAATCGGAACTTATTGAAACTTTCATCATCGAGCTGTTCTTTTCCAGGGTGTAAGTGGAAAGCTCTGTTTCTAAACAGCTGGTAGTTTTCTATTTGCAGGAGAATGAAAATCTTTGTCATCCCTGATTATAAACATAATGTACAAGGTCTAGAAATAGCCTCAAGATAAATAGCTGTGTTGTAAATATACATGAGTAATTTGCAGTTTCTCTTTATCAGTTAAAAGCATTTACAAAAGGGGGCTAATGTTGTAATGTTATATGCACCAGTGGGAGACTGTGGCACAGATGCACGGATTAATTCAATGACACTGTCAAAGGATGAATGAAAAAGGGCTTTGTAGGAAGTCCTAGCATCAGTGAAGTCACTGGTAAGTTTTCCAAAGCCTTTCATGGGCTGASGTACTCAATACCTAAAGACAGATATCTGAAAGGCAAAGAATTACTTGCATCTGAAAATTCCTTTAAGGTACTTAGTCCTGCCATGGTGCCTGTGATAGGATTATGTACTTTTGGTGGAAGCCAAATTCACCAGATGATTGATGTTAGGCAGTAAGTTGTAACACGGGATCACATCCCAGATGAATGCCTTTCGAATTGGATGACTGCTTATGACTGTCTTTTAAATACTATTTATTAAACAAAATTAAGTTTCTCCAGAAAGATACTTGATGAATTAAGTACCTCAGACTACCAAGCAGGCAAGTTACTTTTTTATCTGCCAGACCACCCCTCTCCAGTCCTTCAAATTCTAAATGTTTCCTAGTTGATTATTCTGGGTATGTTTCATGAACCTTCATTGTCATCCCAGTATGAGGTAGGAACTTCCTTTAAACCATACTAATGTTTGTCATGAGAGAAACATCCTACCCAGATGCAGTCAGATTTCAGTTYTATGTCTTATTTAGAAGCTCGTATTTTCAATAGAGAACCTGTGCGATGTTTTTATGTTATTCAGTCTCTCTCTTTTTTTATGGTAGAAGAGATAACTTAGGAAATARTGCTTTACCTACAAGAAAAATTTCAGTCATTACAAGTTTTAGAACATGTTCAGCAACACTTCGCTTCCCGTTTGGAAAGTGTCACTCAATGAAGACCAAATATTTTGCAGTAAGAGATCTGGTGGCACAGGAGATCTGGTGGCAAGTCCATTCTTGACTTCATCTGGACTCTGATTTACTTTGCTGCAGGTCATACTGGGAGATACTGTGCTAATCTCATGTTCTTTTTCATGAAAGTTCTCAAAGGTTTTAGTTTCCTTTAAAATAAGCTCCATTTAAACCTTTTTTTTTTTTTTTTGTATCAAAGCATCAATAGTATTTTTCATCCACTTTTGCATGCAGTATTTTTCAGAGCTATATGTAAGCAGCCCTGTAAATAAGGGGTGTAATCCTATGTGGTTTTGTTTTCTGCTTAGAGGGTGAACAGATGTTATGACGTTTTCTCAGTATCTCTCTGTGCTCTTAATGATAGGCAGTGTTAGCATCCCAGAACTCATACTTGCACAGGAGCTTCATTAAGATTTCTGTGCCCCTTTTCTGAAAGGTGAAACCTCACATAAGGAGCAAGAATGTAGAGTAAAATTTCAAATATCCTCTTTTTTCCATCTTCCTTTGGTTTTATTTGACTTCTGCATGTCCAGGATTCAATTCAAATACACCTTTTTCTTTTAGTCTTTCCATTTTTGATGTTCCTGATATTAATTCTTTACATTTCCTGTTTTATAGGTGGGCTGGATCCTCTCTGTTTTAGATGAGCTGCAACTTAGCCCCCAGCCTCCTGTGGCTGTCCTTCCACTTGGCACTGGGAATGACCTTGCCCGCACCCTCAATTGGGGTGGGGTAAGCACTGATTTGGCACCGTTGTGTGTGGCTTCTTGACTTGCTGCTCTAATTATTAGTTGTGTAGTAGGGTGGACACAGAAAAAACTTGGCTAAAGTAGCAGTTTGTAGTTTGGTGTCTTGAGTTCCTGACAATGTAGTTGTTTAATGGAAATGTGGATAGGTGTATCTGATGGGTATTTTAGGGTAAATAATAAGCAGGGTATGTGTGCTTCTAATTTAGTGTGGAGTTTAAGCTTTATTTCTCTACRTTTATTCTTGACTTTACTCCTGGAATTATTCATTCAAGGGAACATATACTCTGGCTTTCTCTCCTCCTGATCTTACTGTGCCTATGCAAAACTTGCATACCTCTATAATAGTTTATCAAAATGCTTGATATTTAAAAACTTAGGAACATTTTTGAGGTGTTTTAGGAGCATTTGATCTGATGTTTTAGTTCTGTGAGGAAGAAGGGGAGGTCTGACACATAATTGGTGAATGACTTGCTTGGCTTTGGATGCTTATGGCTGATGGCTTGGTGACACTTATTCTGCTGCCAGGGATACACAGATGAGCCAGTGTCCAAGATCCTGTGCCATGTAGAAGATGGGACCATTGTCCAGCTGGACCGCTGGAATCTCCAGGTTGAGCGCAATCCTGATTTGCCACAGGATGAGCTGGAGGATGGGACACGTAAGGTTAGTCTTCTTTTTCCTAGGGTAGAAAGATGGGAGAATGCTTAAGAGTTTATCTTGGGRGTATACTATCATATGCATCAGTGGGAAATGCTAAAACTTCTTTATTTTCTAGCTGCATCTCTTTCTCCTTTTTTTGTGTGTCAACAGTTCTGGAAGTATTTGCGATCTAGTGCATCCTGACAAAATTCTTTGGCCGATCATTTGAAAGAYCATTATTTTTCTCTAGTTAAGTAAGGTAGCAGGAGAAACAACCTTATGATCAGCATCCATTCCTAAATTATAGACACATCAATGAGGATGTAAAAATATATTCCTTAGGAATATATATGCTATATACTATACTCTTGCTTTACGACTGTTTCTTGCTTTACAGCAAAGGGTGGTGTGTTTTGGGACTTTCTTTTTCTGTTGAGTTTCTATAGAATCTCCATTTCCATCAAAGAATGGAAAAATCTTATTATGGAAGGTGTCACATTTACAGTAATCTGTCATTTGGACAGATGATTTTGAAAGTGTGGTATTCATCAAAAAAAAAACAATTTGGTGAAATCAGCTTCCAGTAAATGTAAGAATCTAAGATCCTTCTCTTGGTAATAATTTTTTATCTTATGACTGGATGCTACCATTTTCTCTCTACAACCCTGCTGGGCCAGTGCAGTGATAAACAGGTCAGATGTGTGCATTTCTGCCTCATGCATCCTTAGGATGCTTTTTCTGGGACTTCTTTTGCTACTGGTTATATATGAAACAGGAAGAACACAGCKAGGCTTTCATATGCATGCTAAGCTTGTAGTACAAACAATTAAGAAAATCTTTGTATATTCATATTAGGTAGAGCAGATTATGGGAAAACTCAAAGAGAAAATAAATAAAGAACYCTGTGATTAGAGATACTTTCATGATCCAAAAATACTGTAGATAATTTTAATTAGATTATCTTTCATGAGCTGTTACTACCTTTCTAATGGCTTTGTGCTTATATTTCTCTCATATATTCAATTTTCTTCTTGATAGCATATCATAAGATGCTAGGTTTAAAGTAGTTAGTTCCTAGTGCGTCATAAAATATCCCATGTGTGCCACGTGTCTTTCTATTATCAAATTTCAGCTTCCGCTCAATGTCTTCAATAATTACTTCAGTCTTGGATTTGATGCACATGTTACACTGGAATTCCATGAATCCAGAGGTAAGAGGAGTTTTTATTTCCTTAGCCTTGGGAATAGGCAATTATTTTATGAAATGCAAATGGACTTGGATTTAGCAACCTGTTTCTTATAATTCAGAATGAACTGTACAAGCATACAATTTCAAGATAGAGATTATAAATTGTGAAGTGATTGTATGCTGGGTTTCCAAGTCATACTTGAATAAATATGTCCAATTTTATCAATATTATTGCTGARGGACATTGGATAAATATGGAATGCCTTGCTGAGCCAAAAAAGAAAATGAAAAAAGTACAAGAAAAAAGGTGGATCCCCTGAAGAAAAGSACTAATGGGAGTTATTGAAGTTTTAGAACTTCTAAACGATATATTAAGTAGAGATATAGAGAAAACTGATTCTGTGACAGAATGGTCAGAATAAAAACATAAAGAAAACCAAATGCAAGTCAGAGGTAAGTTTTCTAAAGAGTGTTAAGGTTGGGAGAGGAGAAAGCCTGTGAGGCTGTGTAAGTAGGAGGGCAGCAGGAGGATGCATCTTATTTGTCCCCTTGCAGTGGCATGACAGCCGTCAATGCACAGATCCAAATGTGACTTAACAGGTGAACTTTGGACTGATGTGAGTTATTCTGGATGGTTTTGGCAAGTGTGCCTGTATAAATGGACCCTGTTCCATTTACACACTTATGTAAATTGTCCACACTCAGTATTTGGTCATTTCAGTTCCATGTGCATGATTTTCTTCTGAACAGCAGCCTCCTTTATCTATTCTTTTAAAAAAGAACTCCTCTGACGTGCTAAATAAGGAGCAGGATACAAGATGGAATAAGTTAATGCATATTTTATAATGTTTAAGACTGCTTCAAGCTTTAGGAATAATAATGAAGGGCCACAGAAGGGCACTGAAATGAAATGATGACAGCTATATGCATTTCTTTATGAATGCTTATCACCATGCATTCCTAATGTGACTGTGAATAGACAGTATAGATGAAAAGCATGGCTACTTTCTCACTTAATGGAGGCATTACTTAATAATGAAGTTGTAGAGCCCTATAAAGAATGAATATTATTCCAGAGATGCCAGTGTTTTAAAAATTTACACGAGTGAAAAAATACTTGGCAGAGCCAAATGTCTGTGAGTGGGTAGGCATGGCCAGGAGAGCTTTTCATAGTACAAACGTCAGCTTTACAAGTCATTAGTGCTGGTATTTCCTCACCCTCTTGAATTGTAAAATATACAAAATGTTCCCTATGTGTTTTAGGAGAGAAAAACTTATAGCTTTGAAGGTGTTGCTGGTGTGTGAGTTTTATTGTATTTTGTGTGGAATTAATTAGTGTAGGACAGATTCTCATCTCAGTTGAACAGATGAAAATCCAGGGGAACCCTGCTGAAGTCAATAAACTTTAGTAAAACTTACATTACTTTCATACAAATTGCAATACATGTTGTGTTGTATGCAGTATCTATGTGGAGCTACTGTAGTCACATACAGTGTCAGAAAAGCAGAAGAAATTAGATTGACTTAAACTGTCTGAGGGTAATTAGGGTATTTCAAGGTAGGGATTTTTCTCAGTTGTTGTACTTAGAATAAATAGCGACTACTGTATCACAGCTGAACTTGTATGTGCAACCTCTACACCTTTCTTGCAACTAATCACATAAAGACGCGAGAGTCAGTCCCCAGATTAATATATTTAGCTCTGCTTCTTCAAACAGAGTGCTGGGTGGAGGCTCTTCACAGAATTACAGTTCCCTCCCTTATCATTCTATTACTCTGGTAAATCAGGGGAGACACAAGTTGGGAGACAACAGCTATTTGACAATGCTGTTGTTCCCTTAGCTCTAAAGGTATGTCTCTTTACAAATACCKTCCTCCCCTGCTTTCTGCTCACTCCCCCCATGCTAACAAATTCCCTTTCTTATTCCATTACTGGCTCAAGAAGGATGAAGACAGAGGCAGAATTTGCCAGAATTACACTCTGAGCACCTTTAGGTTCTATTTCACATGGTGGTAAGAGTCTTTAATCCCTCACATGCTCATCTGCCATGTCATAGTTGGGAGCAATCCAGCCGGTTGACAAGATGCTGAATCGCTCTCCTCGGAAACCAACCTCCTTTGGTTCAGGTCAGTTTTTGCTGAGAGATCTGTGCAGGAGTCAATGACCTGGATGGCTCCATCTGGAGTCATCAGGATAAACACAGCTGTGGCAGCTTGGTCCCCTGTCCTCTCCAGCTCATTCATCCCATAGATGCGATCATTGCTGCCTGACTTGCCCTCTCAGACAAAATCAGACGAGGGGCATGCAGCATTGGCTCTGGGTCTTTGGGAGACTCCCACTTCTTAGCTTTGGGTTTTGAGATGGTATAGAAAAAAAAGAAAAACAAACAAACAAACTTGGTTCAATAAGCAGATAAAAGGTGGCATGTGCAATTAAATTAATATCTTTAAAAAGAAGTGGCCCCGATTGCATGCCAAGCTCACATATGACACAACAGATGGATCATATAGTAACTGGGCACAATCAGAGAAGAAGTGTGAGGTAACTTAGAAAATGGAGGAGTGTGTTGTGTGATTGTGTGACTCCAAAGCAAACTAGAGAAATTGCTGTAAGTGGTCATTTCAGATAAAGTAGTTTGGAAGTGTCTTCAGTGTGATGATTTGGCCAGAAGGACTAATTTGACACATGAACATTTTCAGTAGAGCCTAACTGAGCAAGAAGAGGTGGCTGGTGCTACCCCTGCACAYGGTATCAGCAGGGCTGCCTCAGAAATCTCTGGATGCCTGCGAGTGAGAAAAGAGCCTCCAGAGGCATGTGAATGACTTGTGTTTTGGGTTACATGCCTTATGCTAGAATATTAACAGAACTCAGTTTAGCTTATCAGGGAGAAGCTTATAGATGATTTAATTGCTGCCTGTAAATATTTACTCAGGGAGAAGTTTTCTGATAGTTGAGGCTCTTTAAGCTAACAAACAGACATAATAAGATTCAGCAGCTGGTAGCTGAAGTGAGAGAAATTCAAGATGGGGGAAAAGAAACATTTGTTTTAACAGTGAGAATAATTAATCATTAGATGTACTTTACTACTGGACTACTAAGTCTCAATAACTTGGAGTCTTATCAAAATTAAACAACTTTCTAAATAGCCTTTAGAGTAACCATTTATTGTTTGCTGTGAAAGTATTTGCAGAGAGGTGTCTATTCCCAATACCTTTTAGATATCCTCTTTATAATGTGTCTGCATTTAGTGTCCTTTTAAATGTCTCAAAGTGCTGGTGAGTGTTTCATGGATTTTTAATAATTCCTAAAGAAAGCTCTTCTATGTCGGTAGGAATCTTGGAAAACATGCTGAGAGTTCATGAAATGAATGATCTGAGAGCTACTATGTTAAATGACAATTGTACTTGTGTTATCTCCAGCTATTTTCACTCTGCATGAATCAGAATTCAGGGCAGTGTTTAAAATCTTATCACATACAATGGCTGAGATGCTGGACTCCTGCACAGCAAAAATATATTCATGTAAATATTTTTACTGAGCAATGCCTGCTAAAAGCACAAAATACACAGTATKCACCATCTGAGCTGAAGCCAAACATATTGAATTCTTTTTCTGCCTTAAGGTGCTCCTATTGTATTACAAAGGTACAATGGAATCTGCTATGTTTATTACTTTGTTCATATTTTTCCTTTCTCCTTTTACAGAAGCAAATCCAGAGAAATTCAACAGCCGATTTAGAAATAAAATGTTTTATGCAGGGGTGAGTTATAATTTCCCTTGCTAAATAATGTTTATTTGCTTAAATGTTTTATCATGCTACTTCCTCCTCACTTTTCTCACATCAGAGGTTATGACTTTTTTTGCCATTTAATATGCATATGTGCTGTTTCTGGCAATGCCATACAAATTCATTGGAAAGAGCTTGAAACATTATTGTTTCACAGTGCTTAGCATTTGAGCTACACCTCTGAACATAACTTTGATCATGTCTTGCTCCTTGTGCTTCTGGATGTTAAGGTTCTCAACAAAGTGCTCTAATTATTTCCATATGTAGATRGCACCTTGGTGTTCAGATTCCTAGAGAAATTCCTCAAGTAATTGCCTTTAACTTACAGGGTTTGAGGAGTAGTCGTGGATATAGGGCCATGGTTAGTGGAAGACAGAGATCAGCTGTTTGACATCGTGTGTATTCAGGGGAGAAGTGTTCAACACTATTTCATTCTAAAATTAAGTTACTTAGAAAAAGAAAGAAACTKATTTGATAGTGCATGATTCTGATATGTGTTTTGGGGTTTAGATAATTTTTACAGCATCCATGTGCCTTAAGCATGGACGCTTATAATGGAGCAAGGATTTGTATGTACATCCTTGGGTGCTCGGTGGCATTCTTTGGTTACCCTCAAAAGGAGAAGTGTCACATCTTAATGCCACACCTAACAAGTTGCAATGAAGATGAAGAGATCCTGCTTTCTCTCTCCCCTGGGAAATCTGAATCTTGAATTGATCACTGACAGTTGATAAAAGAACTTTAGCCTACAGTCCTACTGAGAGTAATAAGGAATAGCTTTGAAAACAGGATGACATTTGGTGATAAGCTGTGCGGTGAGATGAGAAATAAGAGAAGAGAGAAGGCAATAATGACAGTTTTTGTACTTGTGTGTCTTGCAGGCAGCCTTTTCAGACTTTCTGCAAAGAAGCTCAAGAGATTTATCCAAACATGTTAAAGTTGTGGTGAGTACAGGAAATTGTGCCAGTATTGGGGGAAGAGTGGAGGTGGGGGCGGAGAGAAAAAGGTGCGAGCTTAATGGCCCTGTTACTTCTCAGTTTTGAGCATGACATTTGAAAGAGATTTCAAAGAAAGGCTTGGGAAAGCTGTTACAAAGCAGCAACGCTTCTCTTGTGTGTGGCCCCATTCAGCAATTTCTCTGTGCTCTGTCACTTTGGCTTTGTAGTGTGATGGCACAGACCTGACTCCAAAGATCCAGGAGCTGAAGTTCCAGTGTATAGTGTTTTTAAACATACCCAGGTAAGCGCAAGACAGATGCTTGGAGTTATAAAAGAGAGCAAGGAGAAAGCAAAGCAAAGCAAAACCAAATGATGGGTGCTTGCAAGTTGTCCTAGACTGGGTGGATGTGCAGAAAGCTTACTGCTACTCTGCTGCCTTCTCAAGAACTTGGGTGTTAATGAGCAATACAGGATGGGACAGGAGTGTATGGTGCAGCAAGAATGTCCTTTAGGAAATCTAATTTCCAGTGATAGAAGGACAGTAGAAATGATTAATTAACAATACACTTTCCCAAATTGTGCACCTAATCTGCAAACAAGAAAGGAAACCAGGCACTGCTGCCTGGTCTTTTGTTTAATTAGAAGCAGAGTGTGGGAGGGAGAAAAGAATCAATATCTTTCACGTAAAAGAACACAAAGCCTGCTTAAAGAAATGCTGCTTCTTAGCATGTTAGGAGGTATTGCAAATAAAAATACAACTTTATCTTTAAAAGTTGTCTCTCCCCTGCTTTCTAGACAACCTACCATTTTTTTTCCATGTGCACTTGATCTTTTGAGTCCTGCTTTGCCCTCACCACAAGCTTTAGTTGGTGTCCCCTCCCCAAAATTCTCCCTCTCTATCACTCTTAAATGACTTTTACATCTGTTCTTTAAGGATAGAAAAGATAAAGATGCAGCAGTTGCATTTGGTGCCTCTCTTTCTTTCCTCCCTGCCTCCTCAACCTGTCTTACATTTTGCATTTCTTCCGCTCTTGAAGCGTTTGAGCCTGCAGGGAGAGAGGGAATGGAGCTCTGYGGGCTGGAGTCCTTGCTGCAGCCCCATGTGTGCTGTGCAGTGGGGGTAAGCAGCTTTGTAGCTAGGCACCCCAGGTGCAAATGCAGCTCAACAGTTGCTCTGCAGAAAGCCAAGTGAGCGAGGAGAGCAAAGTGCTGCTACTCTGGTATCCGTTGCCTGTTGTTCCTCCTCTCTCAAGAGGAACCTGTCCAAGATCATGGTGGAGAAAATTAGTGTATACTGAAACCAAGTGGTAGCTGATGGCCTGGTTTTCTGTTTTGTCCAGACCTTGCCGGCATTAACTTCAACAGTTCTTGAACCAAACCAAGAATATTTGGGTGTTTCTCCTTAAGGATAGCAGAACAGGCCAATAGTCAGGATAAAAGTCAGGATCCATTAGGGCAAACTGTGAGTGTGCTCTCTCATGCTTCATTTTCCAAATCTCTCTCTGTAGGTACTGTGCTGGCACAATGCCCTGGGGAAACCCTGGTGACCACAGAGACTTTGAGCCTCAGCGCCATGATGATGGCTACATTGAAGTCATTGGGTTCACCATGGCCTCACTGGTGAGTATACAGCAYGTGATGACCAGAAYTGATAGGTTCTGCAGACAATGTTAYAGAGTGCAACGTTATCCTCACCATTGAAAAATCATGACTGCATGTATTCACTCTATGGCCAAAATTCTTTTAAATGAGGAGAGCAAATTATAGCTAAAAGTAGAGAATTGCTATACTAAATTACTAGTTTTATAGTAAAAATAGAGAATTGCTATGTAATGATTAAAGCTTTGTTTGCCAACAGTTGCAAATTTATATATGCTAGGAGTGCTTTAAAATATTCTGAAGTTCAATGAAAAGATTATTACAGTAAAAATCAGCATGTATGCATGATTTTACTGTGAGAAGAGCCTGACCAAATAATCACTGCTGTTTCTTATTAGCTTTTGTGTATTTCAATCTATGACATAAAAGTTGTCTTTTTTTTTTGAGAATGGGCTATTAGAAAAAATATGGGAAACTATACAAAATTATATGCCTTAGTAATATTTTTCTTTTAAGAGTGAGCTCTTTTTTTAGAGATAAAAATGTTTATATGAAAATACTGTGGAAAATATACTTCAGCTTTTAAATTTTAGAGCAGCAGTATTTAGCAAATAATTACATGCTACCCAGATAAGTATATTGTCAGCTGTCTCGGGAACAAAAAGGACATACCCAATCTGTAGGAAATGAAAAATACTGTAACTATATTGATCATAAGCTGTAAAAGTGAACTGCAGCTTACTTGCAGTGTAGAGAATTACAATTTAATTATCCTTAAAGATATATACTGAATTTGTATGTAAATTTGGGTCGTTCTTGACAGTGTAAAAGGCTGTACTTAATTGATGATGCTGATGTTCTCTCTTGGAAAATATAAGCATTTAAAAAAAAAAAACATATCAAGAGATACATGATTTCAATGACCACATTTAATATTTCCCAAAGTAGACTTATTTATTTTATTTATTTTTCAAAAATACAGATTAAAGACCAAAAATGCATCAAGAAAAAACAGAAAGCTTGGGATATTGTTGATAGAATAAATGATCTCAAAAGCTGCCATCAATTTCAACTGAGGCAGTAGGCTCCTTTGACCTGCTATTTCTCTCTAAAGGAAGCCTAATTCACAACTGAGGGGCTGTGGTGCTGAGCTACCATATGTGATACTAAAATAAGGAGATAAGCTTGAAAGATGCTGATGCTTATGATTAGAAAGTGAGTTAAAAAACAAAAATAAGAAAGAGATGTAAGGTAGCAGAGTGACGAGCTAGATGAAAGCCAAGTAAGTTTAGTAGACTGTTTTTTGTTTGTTGGTTTTGCTATTTATTTTGGCTGTATTGCAGAGAAAGCCTTGCTTTAGTGAGTATCTCAGAAGAGATGTAGCCAGTGTATGGCTTGGTATCAATTTCTCTCCCCATGCCATGTTGTTTAATTTCTTTAAAATGATTTTTTAACATGGTATTTGATTTTTAACAAGTTATTCTGCTTGCTTTTTTCAATCTGACTTATCTTGATATTGACTTGTGTTAACTCTCATAAGAAGGATTTTAGATGCATCATAATCATATTAAGAGATTTCTTATTTTATCATGAAGGAGAAATCATATTTCTGTCTCCCAAATGTATGCAATGAGGATTCTTGCTTTAAAAAGCAAATAATTAGTGGCATTATAGTTAGTATAAAAACAAATATCCCCTCTCCTCCAACTCCCACCCAGCAAACAAATGTTAAAACCTTTAAGAACAAACACAGCTATGCATTTGGGCAGCTTGGAATCTCTTTTTTTTTTCTTTTTTTTGTATTTATATTTTTTTGGGGTGTTTTTGTATATAGTATGCTTGATGCATTCTGAAGTAATAAAACATATAGGTAGATATCTGTTTTGTTTCATCTGCTTGTTGCCAAGCAGTTTTCTATGTGAAACTTTAAGTCCTGCTTTTCAATTTTGAATAAAAACGCACCAATTGTGCCCATTAGTATGCTTTATACAAACACTCACAGAGCTTCAGCTGCACTGTTCTTTGGTATTCACATGAACCCGTACTGCAAACCTCTCAGTTTAGCTTAGGGAGGACTGCTATTTTTACCRTGTTAGTGAGCACACATCTAGCAAATGTGTTGTATTCTTCATCGTGGCAAATGATGTGGCTTTCAAAGTGCAGTCTGATAAATGTGTAAATATCTATGTGATGGAATAAGCCACTTAAAGCAGGACTGCTTTGTTTGCATCTGGAATGCTTTATAGTGGGCAGTCTAAGCAAAACTATGCATTTTTGGTTTGTTAAGTGCCTCAARGATCTGTTTTAAAATTTCTTTCTCTTTTCTTTCCTGTTCTTATTTCACAGGCTGCTCTCCAGGTGGGTGGTCATGGAGAAAGGTTGCATCAGTGCCGTGAAGTGACGCTTTTAACATACAAGTCTATCCCCATGCAAGTGGATGGAGAGCCATGTCGATTAGCTCCCTCACTCATTCGGATCTCCTTAAGGAACCAGGCCAATATGGTACAGAAGAGTAAGAGGAGAACATCCATGCCTTTGCTGAATGAGTGAGTTGGATTTATGCATGTCCTAATGCCAGGAGGTGCTTTTGGGGCAGCCTRTTCAGTCATGGATTTTGCATGGACTAGACTTGCAGTTCATTTAAAAATAAAAATTCACACCTCCCTCTGAATGTCCTTTCTACTGAGTTGTAAATATTTATCAAATTTTATTTTATTATTTTATTTTCTGGATACCCGTCTGCCTGCCTTGCTTTTGGAAAGATGTTGAATCTTTCAGTTTGTTCAGACGGGTCTGTGCAGGCTCAGCAGTGTGCCTCTTAATAAAGCTCGTGGCAGSTCTGCATATAAATGCCATTTCTCATGAAAGAAGTTCTTATGATTTGCTTTCTGACCTTTATTATTCTGATTGCTAGCTCCACAGGAGACCCTGCAACAAATTGCCACAGTCCAGAGTTGCTCAGGATGTCTTATGGTCTCTGTTGTGTGTTGCTGGCTGGGACTGTTAATAGACTGGATGGCTGGAAAGGGCATTGTATAGGAAATCCTGCTCAAGTACTAAAACCCAATAAGAAAATTAAGTACAATATAGCTAAAAGTAATAACACTTTTAGCAGTCTCCTGTGGGGAATGTCAAAAGATTGCAGTGTTGAAATTTAGCATTAGATGGTCTGGAATCTCCCAGGATGTCTATCTCCCACCTAGAGAATGGGAAAATGACAAGGAAAGATGACCAGAAGGAAAAAATGGATGGCACAAGGTGGAAGCAGCACTGAAATAATGTAGAGAAGTATACAGAAAAACTAGAATAACTAGAAGCCAGGAACATTTGAAGAGGAGAACACACAGGACAAGCTTTCCTTATTTGTAAGCACTGCAGAAGTATTTTAATAATAAAAACATTCAAATTTTGACCTATGAAAATGGTCATCCATTAAAATAATTCAGAATATTCTGTAGAGGAGGTTATTGTACTTCTCTCAGAATACCTTCATTGCTCCTAAGGTGAGTGATAAAAGCCTTTTCTTTTTTTTTCTTTTTTTTTTTCTCCATCAACCATTCCTATAGTAATTGAACACAGGTATCTTTTAGGGTATATAGAGATATACAAGCATAAAGTTGTTGAGAATATACATTTAATTCAAATAAACCACCCTGAGGGGGGTGGTGAGTAGAGGTACTTTCACTGTTACATCTATTACCATGTAAGGTAAGGCTTGTGGTGAGGAGATACCTTTCATTAGACTAACTCATATAGTTGTGAAAAAAAAAAAAAAAGACAAAATCTCAGGCACAACCTTTTATCTCCAGGCGTCTTTAAACATTGTCTGGTTTTTTTTTTTTTTTTTAACTTTATCATGTAGTGAAAAATACTGCTTCTCTTCAAACCTTCAAGCTCTTCAGGGCTTTGTCATTCAGTGTTTGTTAATCTGCTCATGTAATCAAAGCCTCACTGTTCTTTTCAGCTCTTTCCTATTCGCTTTAATACTCTGTGCTCTTACTGAGACTAATGCTTTAAGCTTCAGTAGAATTCTTATTTTTTCTGAAAAATATAGGAGATATAGCTGTCTCTCTTGAACAGTGAAGAATAACAGATTGTCGCCTGTGAGCAGTGATGCCCAGTTTCATCTAGCCATGACTCCTCACTCATGTGGCAGAGAAAATCCTGGGGCATCTCTAGACTGCAGTGGTCTAATGCAAACGAAAGAAAAAATCCCAGGCACTTCAGTCTGCTAATTAACATGGATAGGCCTGGAGTCAGATATCTGAATTTAAACTGCAGTAGGGAAATCCAGATTCCTAGTGTACGCCAGTTGTCAAAAGAATGTCCTTTGTGGCTTAGCTGGATTTCAATGTGTTAAGTCAGGCTGCATCACTGGCTGAGTTCTCTGGCTTGGGTGAGATATTTGTTTACAGACTTCTGTCAGATAATCTTCAAATGATCTGTGAGTTCTCCAGTCTCAGTCTCATTTAATAGGAATGGTAATATATGGGTGTATGCATATGTTTCTCAGGTGTTGAAGGGCATGAGAACCAGCACTTGAACCTCCCTGTGTGATAAAARTCTAGGCAGCGTTTAAGAATATGAGAATTTTATTCAGTATGACAGTGCTTTGTAGAATTTTGCAAAAGAGGAAAACTCAATTAAGCATGTTTATCTACATTTGTTAACCTGATATCTTGAGTATATCTCCCAAATCCATTGAAATCTCACAGAAATCATTATAGTTGATTGCACATAATAGATGGTTCTCTTAAGACAGCCACCATCTGAATTTTATATGTGTGAGATTAGTAATGGGTTCTGGAGCTATCCCCACAATTGTTAGACAGCTGTTCCTCAGTGCCTTTCAAGGAAAGTGATTAAAAAAATTATCTCACATCACAGTAACTCAGAACTGCTGTTGCTGTTGGCTTTGGATGCTGGATAATAAGGAGAGCAGCAGGAATCCTATTTGAAATTTTAGCTAATCTGTTGTCATACATAGGAAAAAAAATTAAGAAGTCTTAGACTTTTTTTAGGAGAAAGAGTTTACAGGTGTTAATATTTTTATCTGTCTTATGTTTCCTGAGAATAGCAGCATCTTAAAGCTGAAGAGCCCATATTTTATGAAGCTACAGTAAGAAGAACAGAAATTCCACGCTTCTCTGGAGAGAAGGAAAGCCTTAGAAACATTGCTCTCTTCTGGCTATGAGCATTGTTGATATTCAAGATTGCAGCTGTTTCCCTTCACAGTCTGTGCCCACTGCCAGAGAGGACAACTTGTATATGAGAAGAGATCAASTATTCTCTTTGACCTATTTCCCCTCATTTTTCCCTCCACTGTTGGGATTCCAGCATCTTCCACTTCCACAGTAACTACCTCATGTAGCTCTTTACAGACTCCCATGACCGAAAGTCTCAGATTTTAAGGGTGATTCTGCTTTATGTTACTGAATAATTGCCTTGCGAAAAAAATTATAGAGCAGAATTCAACTGCAAAAAAAAATTTAGTCTTTTGAAAAAAAGGTGGAGAATGGAATCACACAGAAACATAAACCTAGTATTTCTACAGGGCTACTGAAGTCTCCAGTAGCTTCCTTTTTCTCTTGATAGCAGCAGCTTCATTTATTAGGGCACAAATGAAACACCTGATGTGCTACATGTCGTCTGATCTGGGCAATTGCTGACAATTAAGGTTGTGTTCAGTTACTTCATMATTTTTCACTGGTGAGTTATGTACAAAAGAGTGATTTTTCTCAGAATATTAATTATCTCCTCTTCATCTTACAATGGATCACTATAATGGTAATGGCTAATGACCCAGTGAAGTGTTTCAGATCAAAAGCAAATGTTCAGGTGCAAGAAATATGCTGTATCAGTCATACTATTTACACTTGGTTATAGATTGAAAGAAGGCAGATGGTAGGGTTGTAGAAAAAAAGTTGTTTCTTTTCTTCTCATATGCTTTTCTATTTGTCTTCCCCACGGTGTTTGCTAAATGTACCACCAACATCAAGTTTTCTGTTACAGTCAGATCAGCAGGCTCAGTTTTGCTACAAGAGTGGATTATGTTTTTATTGTCCATCCCTTAGACTTGCCAGCTAAGTTTTGATTTCCAAATCTTCATTGTTAATCATGGGAATATGTGTAAGAGAACGTGTAGCTTTCTTATGGTCTTCTGTTTGAGAGTGCAGTCTTATCGGAGCAATAAGYAAAGCGTGTATGGAATAAGAAGCCATTCTGCAACTCATTTTTTCAARAGTTGAAGTTAGCTGATTTGTAGAGACAACTCCATCCATTCAAATCTCAGTTTTGGTGTCTGTTGGCGTTTCTGGACCAGCTTCCAAGTCTGTTGCCTTGAGATCTTTAAGTACTTATGTGACATAAATCTTGGGGCTTGTATTCCTTGTATAGATGCGTGCTCAACTTGTCACAAGTCTTCCTCACTCGTGTCTAGCCCCTATGTGTCATGCAGCAATGAATTTCTCCATTTGCATGTTTTCTTTTGTCKTCCTGGTGTGATCTTGAAGCTCTGCATGTTTCCTCATTCAACTTACGTGACACATTCCTTTTGTTTCTGTTTAAATGTTGTATGTCTTTCTCTCTTTCTCTCTCTCTCACTCTTTCTGCCTCTCCCCTACCTTGTCTGTCCACACTTTGTTCTGCCTCTCTCTTGGCTACTCATTTCCTGCTGCCTTAGTATCCATAAAGTGCCCTCTGCTGACCTGAGGAGAGTCTCGGCTCCCCCCGATTCCTTCACTGTGTGAGTATCTGGCTTTTTTCTTTCTTTCACAGCTCCAAAATAGGTCGCTGTTACCCAGTGAGTCATTCAACCAGGAGAAAGGGCAGCGAGAATATTTTATTCTCAGATGAGTGGATCTGATGAGAAATAGGAGTTGTTTTTCTGAATTTGACCTTTCTTGTTTTTTGGCTTTGTGGGTTCATTCCTGCCTTTCAGTTGGCAGAGCATGCAGTGGCATGTGCTGTGGGCAGATGCATCTCCTAAATGAATTTCTCCTCCCTAGATGTGCTTACAGTAGTGTTTATCCCTCAGTAGAAGTGCTATGTTCTTTGCTCCTTGCTGGGAGTGAAGGTGTTAGGGCAGCAAGGGTCAGTTTCTCCTTGAAGAAAGGGGAACTGGGGCTTTAGGTGATGGCCCAGTGGACACAGGGCTGTGGSCTCACCAGCAGGGGCTCAGTCCCACGGTACCTAAGCCAGGTGAGCAGGACAGGTCAGTGATGGTGACCAGTTTCACCCAGGAGGGTCCAAAAAACATCCACAGTGATAGGAAAGTCTGAGTTCCACTACCAGGCACCATCCCTGGAAATAGCTCAGATGAGAGCTACAACATTGTTCTTCCATGAGCTGATAAGATGCATAATTACATTTCTTGTCCTTTTGTTTTAAACAAAAAAACTAGTGTGAATCAGCTCATCCGAAAAGCATCTTCATGTATAACTGATCCAAACAGAAAATTAGTGTCCCAAAGGAGTGGCATGATATTGTCTGCAGCTGCCCTGAAAATGGAAAATCCACATTTACATTAATATTTTGATTTTCAGCA